TCCCCATCTCCGGGGGGGTGGGGGGGCGGTGAGCGAGCGGCTGTGTGGAGTTTAGTTGCTGGAGCGGCCTGAACTGCAACACAACCATATTTGACAAGCAGGAATCCTTAATACAGAGATGTTACAACATTGGCATCAATGCCAATGCATAGTATGAATGTGTGTTTCCCTGTGAACGTGAAGAAAGTATCAATGCTGGGACTTGATCCCAGTGTAGCAATCTTTGATAGATTTAGCACTATATGGTCACATTTTCTTCATGCGATTTTAAAATACTATATACTACTGCATAAAAATATTCTCAGTGTGGTTCTTTGTTTGGATTAATTTATCCCCCCGAGCTGAGGGAGGCTGCTTATGCTACTTTTAATACTCAGGTAATATATTAAACTGTCTTGGTTACCTCTATTCAGCATTTATTTGAGCATTGTAGAAATAACTTAATTTCAGGATTATGCCATAAAATTTATTTTATCGAGGTAGTTAGAATTTACACAAACATCAATAAGGAAGAAAAGATATTCTGTCCGAAGGACGAAGTCAGCACTAAAATAAACAAATTACCCATAGGCAGCAAAACACAGACTGGAATGAGAAGTTAAGCACAATTAACTGTGGAACTCCTACCACAGTATACTGTGGCTGCTAACATTTTATAAGTATTCAAAAATGTTTGGACAAATCATTAGAAGAAAAATGTATTGGTACCTATTAAGCATAACAAAATCACTCTATTAATAGCCATTATTTCATTTATTCTGAGGGATTGAGAGTATTTCAGATTAAATAGTAGGCAAAAGTGTCTGTATGGCTAAACTACTTGAAGGAACTCTTTTCCATTAGAGTTGCCACATGGCTGGTTTCCAGCTTGCCTATGTTGTTTTGGTTTTGATTTGTCAGCCACTAGTGGGACTGTAGAATGTTTTTAATGTTCTTAATTTGGAAGGACTAGACACACTGCAGAATAACGTCAGCATGTTTACACCCACACCTGCACAACAGTTAATTGTTCGAGGTGTTCATTTTTCAGCAGAAACCAACCTTCACTTCCTCTCCCCATCCATGTGCTCAAGATTAACTTAAATTCATGACACTCCTTTGGTTGATAGCATATGACGGCCATACCAAAATGAAACTGACAAATCCATTACACCTTGTTTAGAGCATCTGATCAACTAACTTTTTAATTATGTACAAGGAGCTTTATGGTGGCAATCTGTGCTAGCTGCGTACCTGAGGTGTGAAACATCTGCAAGGCCATGCTTCAGACTTTACCAGATGCAGTAATATTCAGCTGCAGCGCAAGATACCAGAATAAAAATAAAAAGACTGAATCGATTAATAGGTTTTCATTGTTTTATTTTTCTTGCTGCTGTTCTGATCAAACTGCAGACACTGTTGTTCATTTTAAGAAGCACCTTAGAGTTAGGCAATAGAGATTATGACATTTTTTGTAGCAAATTACAT